ACACTTTCTGACTCTCACTTTCACGGTCTGGTGAGTGATGATCTGATTGGTCAGATGAAAGGTTGTAGTAGTGCTGGTATTGGCATACAACAAGCCATACGATACATCATGATACTGAAATTTTAGTCACGATGATATATTGCCAAAGTATTGTGCACTTAAACTGCGATACAATGCAAATCCCAATACAAGGGTGGCGATACGATACATATGACGATACTAAAATCTTTATTTCTAACACCAACTTTAAAACAGATCAAAACGAAACCAATTTTGATGTATTTCGTCAAATTCCCCCATCGTTGTTCAATGTTCATTCAGAAACAAGATAATTAAGTTAATACATGGACTTTGTGAATGTTAATAACATGTGAGCGTTATGTCTGACACAGTTCTTGATGCAAGAATTTACAAGAAAACTTTTACTTTTGAAGAGAAAATAAGTATTAAAGCATATGTTTTAATCATCAAACAAAAGTAAGTCTTCTTTCTTGACAGATATCGCGATTGGGCAATATTCAAAGTTAAACGTCTATGTATCGTGGCATATTTGAAGTATCGTATCGGTATATACAACAATGTACAACTTTGTATCGATTCACTGTATCGGCGGCCCATGAATCGATGCATCGTTACATATCGATAAATCGTCACACCACTAGGTTGTAGTTACATGACCCATAAGGGGATCACCTCAGATCTTTATTAAGTGGTCACGATGACTTGGATCTGTTCATAGTGAGATTGTGTTTATGGTTGAGGTTTACATACGTAATGTTTGTTAAGCGAAGGAAGTGTTTCATGCAGTAGTCACCAATATACAATGTGTATCATGGCAGCATGAAAGTGAAGACCCTGTTTGAAACTATACCATGTCATGCTGCAGGATTGATACGACTATAATTCTACTACTGGACTCATGGCAACGCATATAGTCACTCCAGCTGCGTGAAATGTGTGTATATAAAATTTATGGTGATGGGAAGGACTGCTCTACTTTGCTTCCCAGTCTCATTGTGCCTACATCGGATAACCTTCCTGGCAGAACACTGGTCGTTTGTTCGGCTTAGTGTCTTACACCATCATCCTGCATCAGAACTGGGAAGTCCTTTTCAAGACTGTTATTACTGGAAGTGTGACAGGAACATCCTCATATGGATTGTCTTTATCCGGATTGTAATAACACCCTATCTTCCCCCCACTTCCAGACTCGCATCACAGCATAAGGGCAGCTGTTATTAACACCCCTCACTGTGGAATTAATCAGGAGTGCTGAGAATTAACAGAGCTGTGTGCTAGTTTCTCCACTGTGTTAATGTAAGTCGGTCAGATCATCGGTTTCATTGAGGCGCCATCTCTCCATAACCTAGTGTCATGGGTAGATGTAGATTGGGTTAAGTAGATCAAAATTTTCTCTGAACCTGAAGTAAATCGTATATAGTTTTGGCAATTTTTGTGATCTGATGTGTAGGTTCAAGAAAAACTTTCAGTCATGAATATAGTTCAGGAATCTTCACAGAAGTCTGTGAGACTAGTTTTGTGGAATGTATTACTGGGTAATAGTTTTCAGTTTCATGTTGAGTAGGCATAAGCTGCTGAAGTTTATATTGATAATATGTTTCTTTTAGGCACTGTTATCTTCATAACATTGGGACCTACCTTGATGATTTGGCCAACATAAAATGTATTCCATTGAATGTAATGTATGAACACTTAACACGGATGTTTGTGATCATATATAAGAATAAGAAAAAATATGAATGTATGAATATCAAATGAGATCATTAGATAATTTGTAAATGGTATCTGACAAACATTTGAGAAGTAATCTGTTTCTTACATACACAATAAAATCACACAATCAACACTGTTACACTGTAGCACATAAAACAATGGTCATTTGTGATGTCATCTTACTTTCTGTTTACTACTCACACCTTGTGTGAACCTACAGACAAATGGACCGCCTCCGTGGTGTAGTAGTTAGAGCGTCCGCCCGGAGAGCGGAAGGTCGCGGGTTCGATCCCCGACCGCTGTCATACCAAAAGACGTTAAAATATGGTACTTGTTGGTCCCTGCCTGGCGCTCGGCATTAATGGGTACAACAAGGACTGGTCGGCTCGGAGTCAGTATAATGTGTCTGAGTGGTGTATTCCTGCTTCACTGCGGCATGGTATCTCAGTGGGCTAGCACTATAAAACCAGCTTAAGTCTGGGCTAGTACAAGCAGCCGCACATACACATACACACGCATGCACGTCGTCATCTGAGCGAAATATTCTCAAGCACGACGTTAAACTCAATTTCACCTCACCTCCAGACAAATGTTTTCGTGGATTATTGTGGAAGGTGACAATGAAAACTAGATAAGATGAAAGAAGTTCATTTATGAACACTTTGAATCCATTAAGCTTTGACACAGACAAAAGTGGATTTGACCAAAGCATGACTAACTTGTCAATATATTACAATCTGTAAAGTAGTCTGTCATAATCTGACCTTGAGCTTTCACATGGACTAGCTATGCACAAACCTGTGAAGATCCAGGGTAGAATTCAGCAACCCATGTTTGTCGTAAGAGGCGAGTAATGAGATCTGGGGTCAGGCTCGCTGACTTGTCTGACACATGTCATCGGTTCCCAATTGTGTAGCTCGATGTTCATGATGTTGATCTCTGGATTGTCTGGTTCAGACTGGATTATTTACAGACCGCCGCCATATAGCTTAATATTGCTGAGTGTGGCATTAAACAACAACCCAACAAACCAACCAACCAACCAAGCTAATCACAGACCCGAAATTTAAACTTATGTGTTTGATCCCAGTTATCACATAATTGGTTTCACACGTTCAGGTGTTTAAGAAATTTCATCCCCTTAAAGCAAACTGAACAAATTACCCAAATTACTCTGATTACACTGAACACCGATTCTTCTATTACTTGACAGCAAACACTTGGTGTCATCAGTTAGTTTCAGGCATCCATTCATTTCATTTTGACCTCTATAATGGAGAATCAAGATTGTGTATTCTGTGGGGTAAATTGTGTATGTTTACATGGTGACTAATATATTTGACTTGGCGAGCAACAGTACCATTGACATTTTGTTTTATGATATCAGACAGCAGTGAAATATGATTTAAAACAAATAAGACAAAGCTGGAAATGAAAGAAACTTGTGAACAGGTTTTAGAGACATAAATTGATTGGTGGGGTAGCCTATTGGTTAAAGCATTTGCTTGTCATGCTAACACCCAGGTTCACTTCTCCACATGGGTACAATATGTGGAGCCCATTAATGGTGTCACCCACTGTGATATTGCTGAAATATTGCCTATAGTGGCGTAAAACCATATTCATGCATTTAGAGACAAAAGAGATTTCCTTGAATAATGTATTGCCCTGGGGTTAATATTACATTCATCACCTGAGGGGAAGAAGGGAATGTGAGTATCAAAATGGTCATTAGTGGACATGGAACATGAGTCTGTAGCTCTCGCATCCCATGTCAGTTGTGTCAGTATTTGTAGGTGACTGATATAATGAGTGAATTAAATAAATGTCAACTTTCAGTTTGGGATCCTAATAGCACATTGCCACCTGGACACTAGATAATTGAGATCATCTTACTGATAAATAGATGCTATCTCAGATTTCTTCAGGCACCTTCAGGCACCAAACACACTTTTCAGAAAATAAATGGACTAATAAGGAAAAATAACGAAGTACGTGTGATGGGCATTATTCCTGTGCAGGTTCATCACTACGTATACAGTAATTTATCATATAACAGTGATAACAATGTAGTAAGCCACTCTGACAAATATCTGATAAATATGGAAATGAAGTCATTTATCAGGAACTATATTTAATTCCCAAATATTGATTCAAAGTCTGCTGGCAGAATGTTTATTGACAAAAGTTCCCAATAAGTTTAGATAGGGTTTTCCCGGGGTATGGATGATAATTTAGACAAACATTCCTACAAATTATTTGGCACTATATAATAAATGGGGCAGTAATTCACTCAAACACTGTATTCATTTGCAGTTTGTATAGTACATTGACAGAATTTATTACTTATCTATTGATTTTTTTGTAAAATGACATAATATGATAAAGATATTTACTTTGTGTTTTTCCATGTCATAATATCAGATTTTTAAAGAATAAGATGTTTTTAAAGGTCTATCACAGTTTGATTAATATTCCTTATAGATGATGTTCATGGTTTGGAAACACACCTAATAATCTATATGTTTTTAATAACATTAAAGTGTTTGACATGTAATTAAGTCATTCTGACCTATTGGTCTTAGCAAAATTGACAGGTTTTTATCTGATGTATTTTTAATACTTGAGATAAATGTGATTGAAGTCGGACCTGTCATATTTCTGATAATCATATAAGAGGAGACTTTCTATGTATTGTGTATGTATACTCAGCAAAGAATGAAATGCAAAAGTAGAGAAATTGGAAATATCTGAAATAATAGTTTTTGTTGATATTCATACAAAATAAATACCCAAATTTAATTTCTCATGTCTGCATGCTTTGATATTGATTTGTCTGTGTACAAAAATATATGTCCAAGAAATACAGGAATGTAAATGAAATGCCAAAATGCAACCATATGGTATTGTTGGGCTATGAAATAATGGGTTTTCATTGGTCTGTCATTGTACAGCAAGTGAAAAGTTAAAACATTCCATAACTGACAGATGTTAGACTAGCACCTCGGCAAGATATGGAGAACAGATGACCTTCACCTTGACATTCGATTGTTTCACTTGTGCCATGATGCATGTTGGTCAGTGACAGTGATTTGTGTCAGATTTGAACAATCTATTATGATCTGTTGATTATTTATAATACATAAAGTATACATCTGAAAACCGCTCTTGCATGTCTTTTTTTTCACAGTGTATTACAGTTATTAAGTCATGTTTATGTTAGTTGCCTAAGAGCAGACATTGTATGTGTTGTGTGTACATTACAGGTATGAAGATGGTCAAGTTGGAGACAACACTATCAACACACAGAAGGAAAAATATAAACAGGAGATTATGCGAGCTGTTGCATACAGGAACATCTAGTGCCAGCAGGTGAATAAATCTCTTTACAGTTTCACTTAATACGCAATAACAAAGTCGAGGCATGGCTTTTCAGAGTTGTGTCCCTTAGGCGTAGCAGACACCACAGCTTATGGGTGTTTGATCTTTTATGAAATAACAACAGCAATGTGTTGAAAATGGTCTTTGTTTGTTATTTACTCAACATAAGTAATTTCAATGTATGTGTATAGAAGATTCATTTAAATTCATACTTGATGTAAGATTAACATCAGAAGTGAAATTCCTATTAAACTTTCAACACATTCACACAAAATGGTTAAAAAGCTGATGCTCACAAGTAATATGACATCCGTTTATTTCTCAGTCAAATTTGCAGATCAAAACACAGGAATTTTATGTTTTATGTGGATCAATTCTTGTAAAGGAACTGAGAGCCATGCAAACACTTCACCACTTTTCATTGTTGTACTTTTATAATTATTCTTGCAGACTGTTTATACACTATGGATCCTTGGAGGCTGGGTGACTAAAACTTTGATTGTTTTTCTGTAACAGGACAAGTTTCCATGCGACTGAAAGTGGCAGTTCCGGATCTTTCCAGAGTGTGGAACATTGAAGACAGGACATGACAACCATCATGACTAATGGACATAATCATTAACACTTGGCATCATGGTGTTTGTTCAGCAAGATGCCTGCATAATATTGGAAGAAGCTGCTCTGAAAGAATACATGTTACTGTCTCAACCAAATCCAGTTACCATACAATGGCAGTGATGAAGAAATGTGATAAATATTGATTACTTAGCTGTACTGTTTGTCAACCAAGAAAAGACAACCATTTCAGGAATGCCACTTTTATTTGACTGATTTGATCATCAGCTTGCTGGTTTCAGTGATCTGCTTGAATCACCACCCTACATGTAGGACAGACTGTTCAGGTGAAATATTGTTCTTAAACTGTCAGCTGTTCCTGCATCAGGGAAATTGATAAGTGTTTGATATATTTTATGACTTGGAACATAGGGAGTTACTTAAGATATGCACCCTCCATGTACATATAGGAGACTATTGATCATCCCCAGTATAGCAACCCATCAACAGTGATGAAGTCTTCACCACAGTTCTCTGCTCAGAGCTCAGTGCTGCATTTTTGTTGTTGACAATTTATTACTTTGCTCCAAGATATGAGAATTAGAATGATCTTACAATCAGTGATCGACATTTAACAATGCTTGCCCACAATGATATATGACTCATTGTGTGGAGGATTGAATTGGTGTAATCCTGATCTTAACCAGTATCGTCTCACTTGCACAACCTGTTTACCTATATGATGAAAGAATTGATGTTTTATGACTATGATTGCTTTGTGCATGTGGGATGACCTGAGATTTATTGTCTGCTGGATTCCAGAGATACATGAGTCCTTAATGGCAATCAAGAGTTGGCTCATGGATTTCAACTTCTTTGTTGCTTTTTTCAATGCAATGTTTTGATACAGATGCTACACACACTTCATAAAAGGACCAGCATCAGTACCAAAACATTATCCCTTATGCCCTCTGTCTCCGTCTCCAGAGCCCTGTCAGTAGATCTGATAAGGCAGTTATAGTACTGGATTTACCCCGGTACCTGATTTGGTATCCCAGCCATTCCCTTGTAATGATGACTAGGCTGTAGGACAGTATGTTACTACTATCACTGAGCAATTATGGCTCTCTGTGATGAGATCAAAGTGAAGTATAATGGTCCCGTTTAACACCATGCATATGTAGAATGGATTGAGAACTCTCATACTGCAATGAAAAGTACTTAACAGTCTAGCATCAACAGTGCTGGGCTCAGCCAAATAGAGGTTACAGGGTTCAGTATGGTGTACAGCTGTAGATCGTATAGGGTAGTGTAACTACATCACCACGTTAACAAAACCATGCCCACAGACAAAGTATATGAGGCTTCATTTGCTTGCTGTTTGTACCTTTTCCTGCTTTATAAAACCAAAATATAAGTGTCAAAGACAGGTAAACTTAACTTTTTCAGTGAAGTTTGCTATGTGGCTGAACGAAGGAAAACCAAGTTCTATGGATAGTCAACTTCTTTACTGAAATGGGTGCACCTGTTGCAAAATGAAGTTGACTATCCATAGAACCTGGTTTTCCTTCATCTATACAACTTCTAAAATGCCTCTCAAAGAAGATATGTGGCTGGACATTTTAACTGACTCTCTAGTGATATATTCATTAATTAGATGTGCAAATGAAGAATTTCTGTGTTTTTGTATATTAACTTGTTTAATAAGAGATGACAAAACTTTATGGATGATCAACTTCTTGTTTCCACAATAGCGACGTTTCGGTATAGCTTCTTATACCGTTTTCAAGCATGAAAATAAGCATTCATCTATAATAAGTCATACCCTCTGATCATGCAGGTTTTCAGCAATTGTTGTGAAGTGGTATATATTTTTATTTTTAATGCATAATGCTACACATGTGTTATTTTCCTGAAGAGATAAAACAATTTGTCACCATGGTCAACTGGTAACTAGTACATGTATTTAGATTGGCTATCTACTTACATCTTCAGATGTATTATATTCACCTTAATATGTTTAAATTTACAAAATGTTATATATTGAGGCACAGACATGATATTTGACTATGTCATGGTTGGATAATCGTATTGTCTGCTATGATAAGACTGGAAGAAGCCTTGAATCTGTTTCTAGGTTTGTCAAAATCATTCCCATATTCATGGTTTCACCAAAGTGCATCATTTTTTGAGTTCCACAATAGTGAGTGAGTATGGTTTTATGCTGCTTTTAGCAATATTCTGAGGTGCACACTGTAACCATGTTTCTAGGGGAATCAAACCCAGGTTTTCGATGTGATGAGTATGGCTTTTAGCAAATGCTTAAACCACTAGGCTACCACTAGGATACCACCCTTGGGCTCCACAATAAGCTGACCCACCATGATATAAATGGAACACTGTGAAAAGCAGTTTCAAACCATATTCTGGTTGTTTTAGTTTGTACTTTACAAATACATGATACACCATTTGACCTATGTTGTTGCTTTTTAAATATTTAATCATGCCTTATTCATATTATACAGCAATTATTTGTCAGGTTGAAGATTAGCAATAGAAAGGACTATTAAGGTGAATATTTAGGGTAACTTTTATAATGGCATTTAAATGAGAGCATCAAAAATAGTAAGATGCGTGCAAAATGTGTTTATTATGCTGAAGTATGGTCCCCATCTGTTCATAATGTGTATAAAATGAATATGTTCTAGAATTGGATGTTTATATTTGTGACATGTACATTCCAAGCAGTGCTCCAGTGTATGTACTGTAAATTGTCAGTTCAAATGCTGTCATGTTACTGTCCCAGATGCAAATATTCTTGATTAATGATTTCCACTTTTGCCATGTTCGTGATGTATGTAAATATTCTGTATATATTTCACTGAAAGAATATGTCTCCCTGGCTTGAAATAGTAATGGTTTAATTTGTCTTGTGTGAATGTGACATTTATGAGAACATATTTTATCATTCAGTTGTGAAGGGACATTTTTGTACATTTTGATATTCTTTGATCTGTTTCATGTAGCAAAACAAAAAGATGAATGAAGAAAGCCATCATGTTTGATGATATGGTATTGCCGACAGTCTCATGACATCAGCTGTTGAGAGTCAGGCTAAATGTTGTGAAACAGTCAGGGTTTTAATTGTTTGCCTCCCACACAGTGTCACCAGGTTAGACTGGTCCCAAGCAACCTACACCCGTGAAGATCCGGGTTAGAATTGATCTTCAGTAACCCTTGCTTGTTGTAAGAGGCGACTAACAGGACCAGGTGGTCCGGCTCGCTAACCTGGTTGACACATCATATTGTATCGCAATTGTGTAGTTCTATGCTCATGCTGTTGATCACTGGATTGTCTGGCTCAGATTTGATTATTTACAGACTGCTGCCATAGAGCTGGAATATTGCTGAGTCGGCGTAAAACTAAACTCACTCACTCACTCACCCAAGCAACCTACTTTTGTATTAGGAAACTGAATATATTATTGTTTTGACTTGGTGAGTTGACTGATTGTGTGTTAATGTGCCCTGGCATCATGGCTCGTTACTAGCAATATCAGTTACAGAATTGTCTGGTCTGGACACAGTAAGTGACAGGCTGCTGTTCATATAATTAGAATAATCCTGAGCATGGCATCAAACAAAAGAAAATAGGTAGATATTCAAATACAGTTACATAAATCAGTTTCAAACTGTAATCTTCTGCAGACAGTGGCCAACCATTTTTATTGCCTGCATGACCAACCAACCTCCTAGGAAGTATGTCTATGTTTTAATACCTTATTATTTATACATTTTCTTTAAAAGATGACATACCTTAAATTTGCTCCAAGTCCATTTATATTTTCTCCGCTTGGTTAAAGGTTGGACCAAAGGTAGAGTAAGAAGTTAGTATCTAAACAAATACTGCTTGTCTTTCTGTGTGGCATCCTGCTATAAATAGTTACTTATTTAGACAAATTGTGTGTATGGCAGGTACTACTGGTAGTGCAAGACTTACTTACTGTCTTTACAAACAAGTGTTGTCATCACTTACTTTCCATTCATAAAAATTTCACAGCTTTTTCTCTTTGCACCAAAAGAAATATGTTCCTTAGGATTGTCAAGATAGGATATTCTTTTGCACTGACATTATATTTGTAGAATTCAGTCTCAGTAAAAACAATTTTTTAAAAAGACGATAAAGTTGATTTATTAATTACTGTCTCATTTTTGGATCTTTCATTTTGATGCCCTAACTGTATGGTTCCACCCACTAATCTAGTGATACCAAAATGCTAATAGCTATCAGACACACATCAGACATGGTCAGACACACTTTGTCAACCATGAAAGTCGACTATGATTTCTCAGTCAACAAATCAACCAAGATGTACAGTATCTGCAAAACATATTCAACTCTGCCTCAGAGGGATTATGTTGCATTCAAGGCTACACTTATTGTCTGTATTGTTGGTTATAGATCCTGATCTCTTCAGCTGGAACCGTCTCAGGTATTGCTAGCTCTGTGGTTTTGTTGCTATAGTTCCTTCTTGTATAATTCTGTGTACATACATGTCCATGATGTGAAACAGAACCATATGTTTTCCTCTTCACACCAACTGTTCAGATTACTAGGTTTGCTGAGTTCATCAACCCTCTTGCATAACCCTTGCCACAGAGGACAAAACCAAACCATAAAGAGGATAAAAGGAATTTTTTACAACTTTCTTATAACTTTCATGTTTCCCATAGTAATTCAGTTTCTTAAATGTGAATTGAAATATATGCATTATCCTGAGGTAATTCGGCTCATGCACTAAAGATTTCACATTTTACCATTATTATGGTCTAATTCTCACATAGAGGGTCAGTCAGTGTTATGGTGAACTGGACAAGGACTGGTTTTTGAACTGTAAGAAACTTTTCCATTTGTAAAAAAAATATGAATCAAAGTTATGATAGAAGAAATGCTTGGACACTGTGATAAATGTACATAAATTATATAATTAAATCAGTGCTCTTCAGTAAAGGAGTTGCTTCTTTTTGTGTCTTTTTTGTGTTTTTACTAGTGTTTTATAACCACATCTATGGCATAATGCTGTATCAGAATTATAATGATATATACATATGCATATCATGATATACATCCATGATATAATGATATTCATCCCTGCAATAATGATTTACTTAGTGTTAGATTGATATGCATTTTAACTGGAAACGATGCATTCAGCTGTGGTATAAAATGTGTATGGTATAATTATATCAGCCATTGGTATAATGGTATTCATAAGTTATTTGATCATATACATCTGCGGTATAATTCTATTCACTAAAAGACCAAAGGACGTCGCTTTATTATATGATAATATACACTCATATTTGACGGAGGTTTGATCTTGTTCAAATTAATATGTCCCTGCTGACTGCCACTGCAGCCACATGTCTTGAAGTTGTCCCTGAAATGATCTCTCTGAAGACCAGCGGTACATCTGATGGCATGCTGCAGTTGTGCTCTGCCTCTGTAACCACACGAGGCCAACTTTACCGTCGATTGCCGTCCGAGTTTCGTGAAGTCAACTCTTTCGTAAATTCTCGACTAACCTGGTGCTGGCGTTTGTGGTTTCACCACACAAACACGCCGATTCACAATATAACCTGGGTGCCGTTGTACAAAGTAAAATTAGCGCTACGCCAGTCGTAAGTCTATGTTAAGGTATGGGAGTTACGATCACCTTAGCGCTACGATCCTTTTGGACGCAGAACCTCTTGTTTTCATGTATTTGTGAAATCATTGAAAATTTCATTTTACGGCACTGTTTGATACAGATTTGATTTTAAATCTTAAAAACCTTACAACTATGAAAAGCAATTAAGTTTCAATGTAAGTTTCGAATTTCACCCCTACCACGTTCACGTGCACATCATGATAAATGCTTGCACGAAACTGGCGTGTTTGCGCGAAATTCATAACACGTTGTGAATGGAATAATCATTTTTTGAATCCGTATGCATATATACAACTTGGATCCCAAATTATATCATCCGAAAATGGGATATCCCCTACACTGTTTGAATGGTATATTTCGATAAGCAATGTTCCGTTTTGTAGTATTAGAAACAGTTTACAGACTCTGTTTTGTTTAGTTCTTACTATCTCAGAAGAAGAGTAGAAGAACCTCATCTACAAACATTTGTTTCTATGATAACAATCTTCGAGACAGACGACCGGTACATTATGGAGTCTGCACCAGGCAGTTTAAATATTGACATCATAATTGGGATACGATGGCATGCACCAACCAAGCCAGCTACACCGAGAGTGCAGAAAACACTGTCTATTTGAAATGGACACTCATCAGATGTAGGATTAATGTCTCATTATTTAGACCTGGAATTGGAATATGTAAGATAAATTATTTTCTCTGAC